TTACAATAGCCAAGAAATTAAAATAATACGCTTTTATGATAGCAACCACTTTGTTAATAATGATTTTAATTCATGATTGCTAAAATATTCAGAAGTTTAAATTGATCTAATTTAGAAAGTATCAATTTAAAATAAATCATAGTTGTTGATTTTCGCAATAAAAAATAAGTACTTTCTAGTAGCCAAACTGATTATTTTATTTTTATCTTACAACAAACCTACCAATATTAGTTTAAAACTCTAAACTAAAATTAGTCTTGGGAGAAAACGCAAGTCGTAAATTGTTCTCTTCGCTTAATTTCCTTTCCAAGGGAAATTACATTTGTTTTAATTAAAGGCCAATTTTAGAAACTTCAAATTTTTCCTTTTTATTTGCTTGACTGTCTCCAGGAGGGCAGTTTCAGTACATTTTAAGAAAATGGCAAAAGATTGCATGAGTGAATTCCCTATACCCGTAATAAAGACTATGCTATTGCGATACAAGGAAGTTTTAACTCGATTAAGTTCTCTTTATACAAAAATTTTCCCCATATTTATCATTTTTCCCCGTCCTTTAAATTTTACCAAGATCATTTTTTATTTTTATTTTAAGGAAAATAATAGGTTTGGTTTAGGCGTAGTAACTCAGGTGTAAACTGGTCTTAGTTCGATGATTTATGGCAAGCTTAAATTGCTGAATCACGATAAATTAATAACGATTGGAAGTGAATTGGCGGTCGAAATATCAAAAACGTGTGTTTGCACGCCGAGGGCTTAAATTAAGCGCTCTCTATCGTCAATTCGAAAAAAAGAATGCTGAAGCATTTTAAAGTAACAAAGTGCTTCAGGGATAATCATAAGATGTGCATTCACTACGCGTCAGATATTTCTTGTAAACATCAAATGTTAGATTTTGTCTTCGATTAAGGTCTTGTGATTAATTTAAATTCATCTAATCCTTATGAAGTTCATAAAATGGGGGAAATATAAATTCAAAGATCTGATTAGCCGTCTCACTAACTTTGAATTTTAGTAATTTAATGCACACACATATTTTCTCATATGAATTCGTGTGCATTTTTCGGAACACGGAGTTATTAAAATGTGTCTATTCAATTTCAGTGCTCCTTCCTTTTAAGAATAAAAACAAACGCAAATTGAGTAATTTAAACATATAGACTTCAAGGAACCAATCTCCAACCTTGCACAGTTTATGGCTTATTATGACTTTATTTAAATCGTATTTCAAGGCTGAATTTTGAATATATGGGGAGAAGAAAGCACAATTCGTGTTTTCGCGAAACTTTATTAGAAAAACAAGTTTTAAAAATTGCAATATATTGGGTTGGCAACTAAGTCATTGTCGTTTTTGTTGACGGATTCACTCTATACTTTCTTTTGTTTTGTTAACGTGGCCAGAGCATCTAACCTATATTTTTTCTTACTGTATGGGCTTCTAGGTTAATTAGTAAAATTTTTTTTGTTTAGTTCTTTAGTTTTGTTTTTATCCCAATTTAAAAATGAAAGAACAGGACGTGCACTTCCGACACATTTTATTGTATTACTTCCGAAAAGGCAAGAACGCATCGCAAGCACAAAAGAAGTTATGTGCCGTATATGGAGATGAAGCCGTAAGGAAGAAAGGCAGTGTCGAAATTGGTTTGAAAGATTTCGTTCCGGTGATTTTTCACTGAAAAAATTCACAACGATCTGGCCGCCCAGTCGAAGTGGATGAAACCCATATCAAGGCCATTATCGATTCAAATCGTCACAGCACAACACGAGATATTGCAGAGAAGCTCAATGTGTCGCATACATGCATTGAAAAAAAAATTAAAAACCCTTGGTTATGTCAAGAAACTTGATTTATGGATCCCTCACCAGTTAAAGGAAATTCATTTGACGCAACGGATTAGCATCTGTGATTCGCCGCTACTGAAACGCAATGAGAATGAGAATGATCCATTTCTGAAGAACCTAGTTACTGGCGACGAAAAGTGGATAGTTTATAACAATGTTACTGACAAAATATCATGGGTGAAGCAAGATCAACCAGCCCAAACAGTATCAAAAGCAGCAGAGATTCACCAAAAAAAGATTATGCTGTCAGTCTGGTGGGGGAATCACAAAGGAATTTTGTATTTTAAACTCATGCCGCAGAACAAAACGATAAATTCAAATGTATATGTTGAAGAACTCGAAAAACTGAAGGATGCAATTGAAGATAAGCGGCCGGCATTATCAAATCGGAAGGGTGATGTTTTCCATCATGATAACGCAAGGCCCCACACATCTTTGGTTACTCGGCAAAAATTATTGGAACTGGGTTGGGATGTTTTGTCACACTCACCATATAGCCCTGACCTTGCGCCTTCGGATTACCATTTGTTTCGTTCCATGCAAAACTCTTTAAATGGTAAAATTTGTAACAACGCGGATGATGTCGGATCACACCTAATTCAGTTTTTTTTAATAGCAAAGACCAGACATTTTACGAAGGGGGAATTTTTACTCTGCCAGAACGATGGAAAAAGGTCATCGACAAGAACGGCCAATATCTAATTGAATAAAGTTATATTTTTAAATAAAAATTCCGAATTTGCCTTCTTATTTGGAATCGGCAATGACTTAGTTGTCAACCTAATATATTCCAAATATGCTTAACAAAATATCATTTGAATCCACAATTTTCTCATAGTTGGGCAGTCTAAAAAGTTCGGTGCGTTTGAAAAGTCAAAATTAGTAGTATGGATGTCCAGTATGCAGATGAAGCGTGTAGGCAGTTTTGCATTATGCAAAATTTTAAGTCTTGTTTGCTTGAATAAATTCACCTCATGCTAATTTATAAGGGTATATCGGGTATTTAATTATGACATTTTCAGAAGATTATGAAGATTTCTAAATCCTTTTTAGGCAAGAAACTGGAGATCACATCCGTCTTTTATTTTGCAAAGGAGAAATTAAATACCCAATTGAATTTTTCCACCGACAAGCAATATCTACATGAAGGTCAGTGCTTAAAAATGGCAAGAAAAACCACTGAACTTTTAAAGATAATGCCCAATTTACGTATGAGCGTATTGCACAGGTGAATCTCCTTATTTTGAGTAATAAAATTAGATTCACGATGGATAAACATTAATTTTGGGTTTAAATTAATTCTTGCCACTGAGATAATGACAGTGAAAGATTTTCTTTTCACTTGGTTTGCATAACTTCCAATTCTATTTAACGAAGCAGTTTCCACACTAAGTCTCAATTGAGAGTTAGTTTCGCGATGAAAGAAGAGAATTCTATAAATTCCTTTATTAGCCAGATTTAATCGGAATGATTGACCGTCATTCCATTCGCTTGAAAAAAATCGATGAACATCGAGCATGTGACTCCGGATACGATAGAGTAAAGAAGCTAATTCCCGCACAATCAGTCCACATTCCAGCAATGCAAGCCTAGTAATGGAATAATCTGACCTCACATTATGGAAGCGATTGAAGATTAAAATTCAAAAAGTGGTATTTAAGTATGGTATAAAAAATCATTCCGGTGTGCTAGATTTGGGAGGTCGTTCTATTTTTCGAACATTCTGTCAATATTAGAATATTTTTCCCGCATACTACGATGTAAAAAATATTTTTATTGAAGGAACTATGTTATCAAAATAATGCTTGAAACATTACGATTTAAGTGAAACTTTCGCTTTATAAACTACAAAATTTTGAACTGACACTAATCGAATTGGCAACCGTTTTCCCTCAGGTGTCTGACAGTTGTGGCTCTATAGCTAACTGGGACAGAAAAGCTCAGTTTAAAGTTTAATTTCCGTTTAAAATATAAATGGTCATCTCTCACTACTAAATTTGCTAGGATATTTTACTAAATATTCTCGTCAATGTTCAGTCAAAGGAGATTATCGTATAAATTAAAACGTCTTTATCAAATTGAATTAACCCGCTTTAAGGTCTTTTTGCGTTTAGCGTTGTTAGTTCTTTTCATCAGTATGAGATAATGCGTGTGTGTGGCAAACAATTCTCATTGAAGATCGTTTCTCTTGATTGTGGTTGACTTGTGACCATTGACAGAGGGAAATATTTCCGCAAATTATTCATAATGTAAAATATTAAGACACCGGGAGGATAATAGACGCCCATACGATTACAACTGCTTGGATCAAGTTAAAAGTGCAAAAGTTCTTCGTGCGGCTGTAAATCGTGGTTACTAATTTATTTTTAAACTACACCACAGAAGGGAGCTGTTACTGAACAAATTGGATGATTGTTTCAATACGAAAGTGCATAAGATTTCCTGATATCTGCTAACATATTTACTGGTGTCTGCTTTAAATTTGTAAAAGCTTGAATCCTTTATTATATATATATATATATATATATATATATTAATTAAAATCTGTCAACATTTTATAATTTCTATTTCTAATATGATGGGAACAAATATTTCAAGGTTAAAGGCATCACTTAAAATTTCCAAAGTATATCAAAGTCAAGTTGAAAGTTAAAAATGTCATTTTGAATTGACCAACAAATGGCATTTTTAAATTTTAGATATCAATAGTGTTTCAGATTCTATGTTAACAATAAATCAAAATTACTAAGGGTTATGAAATGTGACAAACAGTAATACATTTCGCACAAAAGTGTTTGAACGCTCACATTCCTTTTTGTAAACATTTATTCTCTCATTTTTCATTAGCAGAATTTCCTGAACCAAAAGGTAATTTTGGTTCAAACTATTTTGTTTCTAGTCTCACCTATACATTTGCACGCTTTTGCACTCGTTCTGATGTAAAATACACGATTGGTTCCACGGAAGTGGACAGATTGCTTTTCCCGCCCACAAAACCGACCAATCCGGGAGCGTGCATTTGAGCCTCGTTGGAGAGGGGAAAACATGTCCTCGCGACGCGTGGATGGATGCATTCGTGAGTCAGTGCAAGTCCAAGGAAGTTCAACTATAATCGTCCTATTACGTCAAGGGTTTCTATCATCCACATATTTGAGCAGAAAATGGGCCTGCATTCAAATACCACTGAAAATGATACTAGCCCATCTCCGGATGTAAGCATGCTATCGACGATTGTTGAGGAAAAATTGGATGTCAATAGCTGCCCATCAAGCATGACGTGCTCTGTCTCCCCAAATCAAGCTTCAAATGGAGTTATGGATGTCAGCTACGATGTCGAATCGAGTGAAAATATGAAAAATGGAAACTGTGCAGTTGCCATAGTGGAAGCGGATAGTAATACTGGTCATTTAAAGGAGATTACCAAAGGAAACGACGATTCAAAAGAAGAGACTGAATTTCCACATGAACCCGGGTATGTTTTTGTTTTTACTTATTGTTACTAACGTATGCCCGTAAAGTCCAACTGGTTCTTATCTTATCAAATCGTAATATTAATTTCACCACTTTTGCGAGCATTAACTACTTACCCTATGTAAAACCTAAAACTGGCCAAGCTAAATAGTTGTGAACATTTTTTTGCAAATAATCTAGTACTTTATGGAACAAATTTTGATTCCTGACTGCAGCAGGCAAAATTCTCTACCAAACTAGAAGTTTTAAAGCATTCAAATAGTTTATTTTGTCTCGTTTTAAAGAGATGGAAAAAAAACGCGGACATTCAATTTTATTCAATTAGGGTCTCGTTCGGTTCTCAGACATTCAAGTTAAGGAAAGTAATTTGGCTGACATTACATTTCACAAATCTACAACCATACTTTGTTGTCGTTTTCCTCTGTTAATTAAATTCCAGAATCAGTTAAGCTATTTTTGCTCACTTAGTTGACGTAATTTCTGTGAATACGACTGTCTAATTCAATTTTTGGAATACAGAAGTAGATATGGATTCTCTAAGCAATTGTCCCATTGTTTTAAAACTTTTAATTAAGTTTGGTATTTGTATTCTTTGTTTAAATAAAGACTATCATTGAAATATGTACTTAGTAGGCTAGCGCCTAAGAATACTTTAATAACCACCTATTTATTCACTGACCCTCTCAAAATATGTGAATAACTCAAATCAATTTGTTGGCTATTAGAGGAAGAACGATAATCAACACGTAGTTTGCACCTTTTCAAGAAAACAGAAAAAATTTTTAATATCAATTTCTCACAAAATATTGTTCAACTCAAAATCTTGTATCAGATAAAGCGATTTTTCTGGTATCCTATGCTTTATTCTCATCAAGGTTTTATAATTTTAATACGTCAGTATTTTTTGACATTTATTAGCACTCCACCTTGCCACTTTAGCAAAATATTAAATTGCATTCAAATTGATCCTGCATCGTTTGAATTAAAACGACATGTAACTAGGTAAATATTTCTATTGCTCAATTGGGCACTTGATATTGTGTGAATGAATATTGCAATTGAAGCATTTGTATGAAAATGAAGAGAGAAATTATACTCGTTATGTTAAAATTTAAATTAAGATACCTTTGATTACCTTTATGTTTTATTGCGGCTTCACTATTTTGCATCTTGAGACCCATTTCACGATAAAAAACATTGAAATTCTTCTGAAGTAGCTTCACTGTAAGTAGAGAAATAAGTCAACATTAGCATCCGCAAGAGACGATTGGCAAAATGAACGACCTGGCTTAGTCAGACGGCAAGTTATACGTGAACGTTAGACCTTGCTCTTACGAATACATTTTATTAGCAATACACTGCTTAAAATAAAAGAAAAAAAGACAATTTGCAACCACAATGTATTTTAAACGAAAATCAAAATAAATATCGAATGCGCACTTGAGCAAGTATTAAAGTATAGTTAGTCGTAACACATTGGAAAATTTTAAAAAACTAGCATAAATTGACAAGCGGATTTAAAGTAAGATGAAGTGAAAAATTGGTTAAAATGGCTTAACTTATTTAGATTATAAAAATTAGCATAATACAAAATCTAAAGCTAAGGAAACAGCTGAAGACTCACAACATCCTTCCATTTTTTGGTACATAATAAACATATCTAACTTAAGAGTTGTGAAGGAGTAAGCTGATGCCAAGTTACTGGCCGCTAAAAATATCATTAATTTCTTCAATTATTAATCAATAATAATCAGTTGTTTCGCATTCTTATTTTGAATCCATTATTTTCCAAGTATTAAGTATGTTGAGAAGGACCTAGTTACCAGTTCTTAAATTTTGGTGGAATAAGGGAAGCAACTTTTTTAAACTGCACTATGGTGTGCGAGTGAAAATAGCCCAAATCATGGTAGTATTTGAAACTCTGTTGCACGCCTCACTGACTCAAATTGAGTGCTATTTCGTTCTTTCGTCTTCTTAACTCGTTGCAGAAGCAACGAGGGAAATTGTCAATGTTTGTTGAGGAGTAATTTAAAAATAAGATACATTGCTTAATGAGTACTAGAAAAATTCAAACTTGCTCACATTCTATGTAGTTCATATGCAAAGTGTTGCTGAAAGAGAGAAAATATGAAACATAAAAAATCCGATTTTAAATTATTACAGCAATTAGCCTCTTTTTTTCCTGTTTCTGTTCTAAAATATATGTAGCCATGTCAATATTAAATTGTCATTAATTTGGTAAAAGCTCATTGTTCTAAATTAAAATCGTATTTTAAATCAAGATTATAGGCACCAATCAGATATATCTCTACTTTTCTATGTTCATTAATTTATAATCCCTATGAAGTTTGCAAATATATGCATAGGTATTAAGTTTGGACCATTGCAAGGCATAATTTCCATGTCTTATAATTATACGTTAAATCAAAAAAATCATATGTGACTTTCTATTTTGCAAACTTTTATCAAAGGATTCATACAACTAAAGCAATAATTTAAAGATGCTTAAGCTAATCCTCACCCTAGGATGCGTAAATAAATAATAGATTCATTTTTCTGTGAGGAATACTAGATACTCGAAAGGTGGACTTGAAACTTTGAGGTTTTCCCCTTCAATTTTGAATATCATACAGATTTCCTTCCTCGATACTAACGCTTATGTCTGAATAACAGTGAATATTATAACCAAGAATTTCTCGAAATTCAATTTGAAAATTGTTAAATTTAAATTTTGGCTGATTGCATAAGATCTATTCATTTAGTAACTTTTGTCCAAACCTGTCCGAAAGTCAAATAACGAAGGACGATTCGATAAACTTACTCTTTGCTTTACTTGAAATAAAATGAAAACAATTTTATATATCAGTGTGGAAAAAAGCAAATATATTTGCAATGTTTGATTTTACTTAATGAAATTATCGAAAACTTAAAAACATGGAGTAAGTTTCTGAGGCCACGAAATAGGAGTATCAATTTTTTTCAATATCTGGGCTAATATAATAACTTTTAAAACATTGAAAAATTAGGCAAACTTTAAAATGCTGTTACAGTGAATAAATGAAGAAAAAATGGAAATAGTAACGGTGGAAAAATGACTCATAAATTATAATTTCTGACATTTCTTTAAAAATTGTAATAAATAATTTGGTACATCAAGTTTGATTTCTAAGTCAATTATCTTAAATTTCGTCAATTTCCGTAAGACATTTGGTATGTTTTTACAATTATATTATTTGATAATGATAAATTTAGCCTGTGTATCTTGATTGTATGAAAGTGCTCAAAAATTACAACCATTATAATTTGACTTCTCCCAAATCTGCCAGTCAAGAATACATTTAGGCGCGTCTTTAAAAAATAGAACAAATTATCTATACGTACATTTTAGTATGTGATTTGAGCAAATTAATCCCACTCCTCTTTTATTTATTTTAGGAAAATTTTCATTGGTGGATTGAATCCATGCACGACTATTGGTGAGTTAAGAGACTTTTACGATTTTTTTTAGTCTAAAAGCCTATTTTGAGTTTCAATAAAATTACTGGTAGCAGTTAAGTAAAAGTTGTTACACACACGTATAAAACTTTTTCGCTTATGCCATTTGTGTTAAGTCAGCTATTCTGCACAAGTTAAAATCTTGCTGTATTCAAAACCAACATCGTTTTAGGAATCCTTATAAAACGTTATTCTGGAATTACTACAGTTATTATTAATCAAGGCGTAGTAAGTTAAGAATTTTTTTGAAAAATTATTTTAAATTATACTTTGCTGACAAGAATATGCCTTGAAGTAAACACATCAATGCAATCTACACTGTTTTGATTAAATTTAAGCAATGAACACCTAAAATTATAATATTGATTGTGCTAATAAATATCAGTTTAAAATTAACACAAAACACGAAAATGTTTCAGTATAAATAGCAGAATTCCATAAACGACTATATTCGAGTTCTTTAAAGAGAGAAATATTAAAGTCACTTAACAAACAGGAAATTAGGTTAACTAAGTTATAAATGATGACATTTTTGAAAGATCAGTAATCGATTATTTCAAGAATATGAGCTGAATAAAAGCTCAATGCCTTGAGCTCAATGCATATTACAATTAACGATATAGCTTGTATTAATCACCTTTTGTTAATGACCATTTGGGAACGCCCATTTTCCTTTCATCTTTAAACTAAAAATGTTAGCTTTTATGGAGCTTTATTTATAGAATTCAGAAATATCTTTTAAATAATTTTGCCAAGATATCTTGAAAGAGGTGCCAACTAGATATGAAACCGAAAATTTGTATGGGCGTACAAATTTCTTATCTTGTTATAATTCAACAATCGGGCTGCCAAACTTCCTGTATTTGTATTTGATGTGTTAGATTGGTTGAAAACCTGTTTAATGAAGTGCTTATTAAGCATTAAGTGATGTACTTAATTAGTCAAATTTCCGCTTGTATTAGCAAACTAGAAGAAATTTGAGTTCAAGTTTATTTCACTCTGATTTTATTTGAACTTAAAATGAGTAGACCAAAATTATAAATTTGGCAAAACACTAAAACCACTAGGAAATTCAAAAAAATAAAACCGGTGAGTAAATCTTACGAACTTTTCTGAAATATTTCGATTTTATGGGAAGTGGGTAAATTCCAGTAACCAGAATGCAGCCAAGTAGACGTTATAAATCAAACACGCAATTTCCTGTAGGAGGTAAAATTGAGCTCAGTCAGTGCTTATCTAGCACTTCAAGATGTGAATGTATTGCTTTAGCGTCGATAAATTTCGACTCATTCCATCTTCAACTTGATAAGAATTTTAATCTAAAGCATATCTACAGATAAAAAACACTGAATGCATTTTACCTTATTGCGATTGAATAGTTGTAATATTAATATTAATAATTAGACTAATGAACAGGGTAAGTAAGCCCGAAATTTTGGTTTACTAAAAGTATAATGACTACCATTGAGCTTGAGTTAGGATAATTAATTAAATTAATGAGATATTAATTTCTGTTAAAAAGTAATTTTTCAGGGAAGCATAATTATTGTCACAAAAATTTTGGTATTTTACGGACAGCATAAAATGTTGAAACAGAAAGTACACTGACTTGAATACTTTACTTCATATT